ACTAATGCATGAAAATCCTAACCTCAAAAAAATCACCCGTTATCATCGCTGGCACATATATTATGTGAACTCGGTGAGCGTGTGCATACATTTATGATTTTAATTAAGTTTGCAACTGAATTGTGGCATAGTTAATTGGCAGGGAAAAAAGTTTACAGTTAAACATTTTCGTCACAAAAAATTACTAGTGCTAAATGAGAGATATTTCCCTGCAATCTTTTATCGATCTGCGGTGATAACAGGGGCTACAATTTTTGTTTGTCTCTGTACTCTGACTTTTACGAAGTTCCAGTTTTTACTTAAAAAATTACATTTTATTTTTATTTCTGCTTATTTACTCACCTGGTGGCACTATATCCCCGCGTTCTCTCGTCCAGTAATTAATTGACTTAGGAAAGGCTTCGGATTGGCATTCCAGTGTAACACCTTTACTTTCCACTGCACCGATTAGCTGATTTTGCACTGTAATCATTGGCGGGACTGAAACAAAACGAAAATAAATAATTAGCTTAGATATTAAATGTGAATTAAATAACAAATCTAGGGTATGTTTGTGATTTAATAAGTTAAATAAAATATTACAAAGATATGACTATCAAAAAAAAAGAGGCTAAAAACGATTGGTTTCGAAAATATTTTTGAAGAGTGTTGCCCCTTATAATTAATTAGTTAAAAAATATTACAAAAGGGGCTCAGAGTACAAAATTTTAATATAAAAATATATATGTATAACCAGCGATGAATAAAAAATCTTCTATCGTGCTCTTTTCGGCCACTTAACGTTTCTTTTGGGGTCCGACCATTTGGTAAATAATTAAGACTTTGCTAAGTTAACTGTAACTTAGCAAAACATTCATTCAATGAAGTCTTTTTACTACTTATCTGCGCTTCTTTTTTTGGGCTTTTTTTGTGCTTTCAAAATATTGCCCAGTAAACATTGAAAACCCGCTTGACGTCACGCTATCTGGCCCACTTCTTAAACTTTGGTCGAACACGGATAACAATTATTGAAAAATTACGTGCTATTTTTGGGCTTTTTATTTTTCACCAAAATAATTATAGCAGCTCTTCCAGTTTCCGAGATAATTAATACTTTGCTGGGTTAACTGTAACTTAGCAGAACATCCATTCAGCGAAGACTTTTTACTGCTTACCTGGGTTTATTATTTTGGGCTTTTTATGTGCTTTGCAAATATTACCCGTTGATCATTGAAAGTTCGCTAAAAATATTGCCCAGTTAACATTGAAAAATCGCTTGACGTCGAACACGGATAAATATTATTGACATGAAAAGTTCTATTTAGCTACGCTTTTTATTTCTTTATGTCTAAACGGTTGGTATTCTGCACCACGGCTACTTCGGACTATTTCTCTCTAAATCCTTGAGTACGGGAACAGGCTAAATGTGAATAAAAAAAAAGTAAACAAACAAATGTCAAATTAAACTCTGAGTTTATTAAACACCCCAATGAGTACACTTGACAGTTGTTTATAAACTTAAAACGTTAAAGTCTTCACTTAGTAGATGTTTCGCTAAGTTACATTTAACCCAGTAAAGTCTTAATTATCCCGGAAACTGAGTGAGCACCTTAAATAATTTTGACGGCCCTAAAAAGCCCCTAAATATCACCTAATTCCTCAGCAATATTTATCCGTGTTCGACCAAAGTTTAAAAAGTTGGTCGGCTACCGTGACGTCAAGCGATTTTTCGATGTTTACTGGGCAATATTTTTAGCCATTTTTCAATGTTCAACGGGCAATATTTGCAAAGCACATATTGCAAAAGCCCAAAATAATAAAACCAGATAAGCAGTAAAAAGTCTGGATGGATGTTCTGCTATGTTACAGTTAACCCAGCAAAGTCTTAATTATCTCGGAAACTGGAAGAGCTGCTATAATTATTTTGGTGACTCTAAAAAGCCCAAAAATAGCACGTAATTCCTCAATAATATTTATCAGTGTTCGACCAAAGTTTAAAAAGTGGGCCAGATAGCGTGAAGTCAATCGGGTTTTCAATGTTTACTGGGCAATATTTTGAAAGCACATAAATAGCCTAAAAAAATTAGCCCAAATAAGTAGTAAAAAGACTTCATTGAGTGAATGTTTTGCTAACTTACGGTTAACTTAGCAAAGTCTTAATTATTTACCAAATGGTCGGAGCCCAAAAAAACGAAAAGTGGCCGATAATAGCACACAATGAGCACAATAATACGAACGAATTTTTTCTTCAATTTTTCATTTCAGTGCCGCTAAATTGATTGAGCTAGATTGTCCCATGCAGCTAAAACAACTAAAGTCACTCATACGCAGCGCTGTACCATATCTTCTAAATATATAAAATAATAGCCGTTTTCGTTGTTCGGAGTTAACTCAAAAACTACTACATAGATCTCAGTCAAATTTTCAGAGGTTATACCCTGCGTATATGGTCCTATTATAGGCTACCAGAAAACTCGCTAGGTGGCGCTGGGGTCGAGTTATTTATAAAAATCTTATTTATGAACCGATTTCTTTTAAATTTAAAACGTAAGCTAGCAGCAAGATGGCAAACACGTTTACCAAAAATAGACTCGCTAGGTGGCGCAGGAGTCGAGTTATTTATAAAAGTCGTATTTATAAACGGATTTCTTTCAAATTCAAAAGGTATAATTCCACCATAATGGAAATTACGTTTAACAAAAACGGAGCCGCTAGGTGGCGCGGGAGGCGAGTTATTTATAAAAGTTGTATTTATGAACCGACTTCGTAAGCACGATGAAAAAAGCACTTGCGAAAAACGGACCCGCTGGGTGGTGCTGGAGTCGAGTTATTTATAAAAGCCGTATGTATGAACGTATTTTGTTAATACACATTCGAAACGTTTATTACTTTCATGATGATTTTTTTCATCTTCCCTGAATCGGTTCACTTTTCGCTTTTGGTTTCTATGTACTTACATTTCGCGTGAATTTTTTTCTCGGACGAAACTCAGGATAAGGAAGATTACATACATAAAATGATAGCCATTTACGTTTTTCGGACTAAACTCAAAAACCACACAATAGAGCCCAGTCAAATTGTCGGAGGTCCTATTATAGGCTACTAGAAAACACGTTGGTGGCGCTGGAGTAGAGTTACTTATAAAAGTATTTATTAACAGATTTCGTTCAAATTCGCATCGTATGTATGATGAAAAATTCCTTTGCTAAAAGTGGACCCGCCGGAGTTTAGGTATTTTTATAAAATCTGATTGGATTTCATAATCCGTATTCATTTCATGACAAGCAAAGGTTTTGCAGAAAAGGGACCTAATGGATGACGCTGCACCCGAAATATATAGAAACCCCCACTGGGTTTGTTCTGCTTTGGCCCTATGTTTATCTTAGACGAATTTACTTTTCCGTTGGCTAAAGCAAGGATGCGTTTAAGTATGCATTTAAAGACCGTAACACTGTGTAAGTGTGATCTTGCATCTACTTCTGATTGACGAAGTTGCTCGAGGCGGTCGTTGTTACAGCAGTAAGACTCAAAGGAACCAATTCATAAGTATTAATACGAATTGTAAAAGTGGCGAATTGACAAGGAAAGATTCGACCACATCTGCCCAAGAAGGAACACGATAGGTATATCAATGGCTTCATTTCAACGCGAAAACATCATCCTGTGAGGCAGCGAGGATTCTTGGCCCTCCTGTGATTAAAAACGCTCATCTGTGCTCTTGAGTTTCCGTATAAGGACTTTTATTGGCTTACATGGTACACCGGACCAATGCTGAAGTTGCAGTATCATAGAAGAATATTACGCACGCTGGGCAGAGATCTCCCAGGTGGAAATAAGACCACAGGTAAAACGCATTACATCGAAAGGGGTTGGTATTCCATATGGAATCACAGCGCTACTATTCTCGGCATATGTGTGAGGAGGATTCCGATTTTTAGTAGTTTCAATTTAAACTAAAAATCTTTACTTTTCTCTTTTAATTTTTTTTTTAAGAGATTAGGCGCCGCGAAGCAAGCGGGCATTTGCTAGTACTATATAAGAGAATAGGTGTATTAATGGACACCAGGACGTATGAGTGACGTTAATAAACTTAAAATTTCTCATAATCAAATGCCTAAATTTTCTTTTAATAAAATATCACATAATTACTTACAGTGTACAATCAGCGTTATTCGTTTGCTCACTGATGGCGGCACACCATTCGATGCTATGCAAAGATAGGCGCCCATATGCTGCCGCTTTACCCGCGGCAAAACTAAATTAACACCTTCGATGCTGAGCACTGCAATTAAAAAAGAAAGGAAACGATGAAAAAAAGGTTTTCAGTTGTTTGATATGCCTTTTCATGCGACGCACGCTGTAGAAAATAAATGAAAAACAAATGTGATGAGCCTGCCTGACCAAAACAGTACGAAATTACTTTAAAAACATAAATGTTTGTTTCTTAAAGCGAACTCAATAAAAGGTACGCTAAATTCTATGGTAATTTTGTACAGAGTATTGAGCCTAAGAAGAGAAAGCAAAATAATCCAAGAAAATTAGCAAATCGTAGGAAAATCTTTGGAACTATATGTAACTAAGTAGGTATTTAAACTAAAGAAATTTGACAATTTGTTAAAGCATCTTTTCTCCGCAGCTGTCCCATTATGTTAAGATATATTTTTTTTTTATTAAATTCGCTTCCACATAGTATTTTTAAAATGGCACACATTTTTCGAAATTTAAAAAGTATTTGTGGTCCCATTATATCGAGCCCTAATGCAACATTTCTGCATCAAAACGAAAATTTTGAAACAAAATGTCGCTTTTTTTTCTTGATTTTGATAACAACATTTATAGATAAGAGAAAAAGTAAGTTTCAGGTTTTTATCTAAATTCCTAGTAGCCCAAACTGGACCCACTATAGAACGAAAAACCCTGTATATTACTCAGAAGTCCATAACACGTAGAACAAAAGTCTCCATAAGTCCAATGCTCTGAGGTTCTTAGTTTACGAGCGACAACCTGTCAAATACGAACTTTTATACACATCTTGCAAAATTTGAAGGAAATTAGCCGAAAGTCATTTCCCATAGGAATTCTGTGGGATCCTTTGCGATTGTGGACAGGGCTCGATAGCTCTTAGTCTTTAGATTGAAATTTTACCCTTTCAGGACCAAGGGAAACATATCTATTATTGTATGAGTTTTCAGTAGTTATATATATTTTTTTTATTTTGAGGATGCACCTCATTAAAAAATTTTTCTCTAGAATTTCAGCAATTTTTTTTCTCAAAATTATAAAAATTTATCGAAATATGAATTTTTATTGGAAAATTTTTACTTAATAAAAAAAATTGTGTTCTAAGAAAAAATATTAAAAAAAAAAAAAAATAAATTATTTAGGAGAAAAGCTTTTGAGGAAAGAAATATGTATGTCTACTCATTTTCAAAAAGAATTTACCAAACATTAAAAACAAGAAATATTGCTTAAATTTTTTTTTTTCTTTTTTAAGAAAAGTAAGTACATATTTTTTGAAAAAACTATTTTGATTTAATTTTTACGCAAAAATTATTTTTGTAAGAAAATTGTGCATTACGTATCATAAATACAAAAAATTAATTTAGGAGAAATAGGCTCAACGTAGAAAAAATTTACCAAACATAAAAACAATTTTTTTTTTTGTAGAATAAAATTACTTTCCCGTCTCAAAATATTTTTTGAGGGAAAAAATTATGTTTAGAAAAAATAAACACTCTTAAACGTTTATTTTTTAGGATAAAAATTTTGCGAAAATAAGTATTTTTTTGGAAAATTTGATGCAGAAATGCATCTATGTCATAATAATAACAGATTGGCGCTTACACATATGTTAGTGTTTGAGGTTTGCCATTGCCTGCCGCGGGACGACCGCTGTTAAGGAAAAACCTTTTTTCTATATTTTTTGCGATGTTGCTTTGACCAGGGCTTGAACTCAGGCGCTGCGGAGTGGAAGCGCGCACTGCTTACCACTACGCCAAAGCGGCCGTTGTTAATATTAGGAATATTTCCGCATGAAAAATAAAAATTTGAAAAAAATGTCGCTTACGTTATTTTGGCGGTTAGGGCTCGATATGAATAACTCGACAGCGAAAAAAAGCTTTTAGGAGCTTTAAAATTTTAACTTTTTAATAGCCAACCGTGATTTAACTTCCCATTTCTTTAAAAGTGCAGGTCACAGTATTTCCAAATATACATAATACATGTCGTTACCTTAATATAGAAAGGCCCTAACTCATATAGTCGTCGTTGAAATGCAAAAAACCGTAACTAACTAAATTTTTTTTTATTGCTTAAAACGATATGGGAACTTATAATTCGATGATATGTATTATAATCCATAAAAAAGTGTATTTTGAATATCTAGATAGTTACGGCTTTTTATATTTCAGCCACGATGTGAGATAGGGCTTTTCTGAAGCTCTCCAATATCTATGCTCCCAATAGCTAAAACTAGGTATAACGCATGACGAGTTGTCTCCTAAAAATGCTGTTCGCATGCCGCTCATTGCGTTGCCACCACAATAATATTTCAAACATATGTTTTAATTTTCAACAGTTCACCAGGTCCTGGGGCGTTTGGCTAACAGGTAAGTATACCACTATTCGTGCATAGTTTGATAGATACTCCTAATTAAGTTTTTCCATATTTTAAAAATATAATATAAAATAGTTCGCTTAAAACAAATAGAAAAACGAATAGCTAGTTGAATAACAAAAATAAACACAAATCAAAATTCGCCTCCAAATTGCGGTTTTACAGAAATGTAGTATGCATATGAATATGAATATGTGGCAATAATCCTAGTTATATACGCAGCTCATGCGTTATCTAACAACGAAATCAAATTAAAAATTTATGAAAGTATCTAACGAGATACAAAAACAAAAAGAAAAAGCTAAATACAAAATAGGTAAAATTAAGGTCGATATTGTCAGCTGTGAATTCTCCATGAAATTTGCATGTGTAAACCGGCCATTGCTCTTTTAGCAGTTACCGCTTTTGTGAAAATTCTCTAGAATACAATAAAGTAAGCGTCACACACGGCAATTTGTGCGCTTGATTGTGCACACAGCCGAGCACAGGCAAATATTAGTTAGGCTCCACGTAATGGTCGTACTCGTTGTTGTTGTAAGAATTTAGAAAATAATGGTATTCGCATGGTAACATACAAAAAAGACAAAACAAAAAAACAATACTAACTAACTAACAACAAGTGCATAATGGCTATAATAACAGTTGGCACAGTTTTAGCCAAACAATAAAATGCACCTACATTCACACATATGTATGTATGTACATAAGCACAAGGTAATGTGAATTTAAATGTGTGCATGTGTGTATATTTATGCGAATAAACACAAAAAATATTGCAACCCATTTGTACGGTTGCATTGAGTGGCTTATGACTTGCTAACAAGCTTCTGCTCGTTTACATATAAACTTTGATACGCATACTTACATACATATGTTCCGCTATAAGTATGTGCATACCCAGCAGGGCAAACTACTATTTAAATGTGAACTAGAATTCTACCAGTTAGCTTTTGAACTCAATTAGTTCGTCTTCCAACCATTTTGCATGCCAGCGGCAAATATTTTTATTGTTTGGCTATGCATCAGCACATACCAGTATTAATATTAGTAGCCTCATACCAGTTTACGGGATAAGCTGACGATTCGTTAAGCATGAAAGGAATATACATATACAATGGTCGAGTGAGCAAAGCACTGGCGCATATTTTTTAAATAAATTTTTTGTGGTAATTTTTAAACTTTGTTGTTTTAAAAATAATAATATATATATTTTTAAATTTAATGAAACCCTCATGATTTTTTGGATCCAGGTTTACTTCCAATTGAAATTAAATTCAAATTTTTAAGCTTTGTAAGCATATAAACTGAAATAATGAGCATTATTTACCATTGATGTAAATTTAAAAATCGCAACCACCTCCAATTCTATGCGAACCTGTAATCTCAAAACAAGTTGTCACAGTCTACACTTGCACAATGGTTTTTTCAACCAAGTTATGGTTATGGTTTTTTCATGGTCAATAAGCCGATTGTAAGAAATGTGATCCAATTTGAAAATTTGAGAACCAATTTGTATATATGGCAGTGGCTAAACGAGCAGAGGAGCTTGCTGTTATTTGTTGGGTTCCAGCAGTACGAATGCCGTCAGCGCGATACATAATTTTGATTTTTTTTCTGTTTTTGTTTTTTTTTTAAATACGAAAAAGCCTCTGTGAAGTGCAGAACCAAATCAAACGACGAAGAAAATTGATTCAAGTTCAACATGTGAAGACACATGTATGAATGTTTGCTGTTATTTGCTAATCCCGTCAGAGGCAACATGTTAAAAGGATAATTAAAATTTTTGTTTTGTATCTCCGAATTATGAAAAAGCATCTGCGAAGTGCAAAACATAAACGTATTTATATGAGAAATCGCCAACCACAAGTTTGGTTAATATAAACAAAATTGTGGTTAATATTACCAAATCATTGTTGAAAATATCAACTTTTTCAAGTTTTAATTTGGTAAATATTATTGGTTGATTTTTCTCTCAGTGTGGGAGAAAGGCCATTCATTGCTTTTTAGTTTTGGCTTTGATACTTAACAGGTGGTCACTTAGAAATTGTCGTACTGGTAGGCCACCGTTTTAGCTCACTCCAGTTCATGTACCAGTATTTTTACTGACTGATTTGAATTTTTACTGCAGGGTATGGATAGACATTTTGGTATTAGGCACTCAATAACAGTGACATTTTTATTTGAGTAGTCATGTGATTTTATGCATTTGCGAATTTTATTGCGGTTAATGCCAACGAACGTTATGTTGCTTTGAGATAAATTTTGAGTGCTTTAGGGGGGCGGGGGACTTATGCAAATATCCTTAATATTAAAAAGTGGTTGCTCTCAACTTAAATAATCAAGAAAACAAAGCACATATACTTATAATTCTATATAGAATCTTCGCTACTTGGGCGAAACATTCCATTTGCAGGTCTATTCTGCGCTGGTAGCAAACATTTAAGTTCTCCTTTCAGTTTTTATTAATGGAATTATACAACTTTTTCAGTTACAAAATGTTCGATAACGTTCAAAATAGGCCTGCAAGACTACTTATTCTGAGTATCAGAAGTATATACATTTCTCTGTGCCGGTTTATAATGAGTTTATGATGGGTTGCCATAGTAGTTTCCACTTTATACTTCTGAAAAATTGATACTTGTGAATGTCCTGCGGTTATAGTTGCG